ATTGCTAGATTGATCCCTCAATCTGCACGTGTCCAGGCACAAAAAGGACATGTGACTACCTCAAGGTCACGTCCTTCAGCTGTAAGGGTCAAGTCTGAACTTCAGATTTCCCATTACAGCACCATGAGGTTTGACTGCATTACCTGCTGCTTCTAACAATGGTGCCCCATGGAGAACAGGAGTGGGTGGGTTTGATCAGAAAATCCTGGTTCTAAACTGAATTCGAACTCCTGTTCCAATTCCTGATGTGGGTATAAGCTCTTGTGAGCGCTCAGGTAAGAGAAAGGATTTCTTGTGCTTCAAAGAAGTCTTGAGATCCAACATAAGTGTGTGAATGTATAAACTTATTTGGGTGCAACATGAGGGCAGAGAGAAAAGACTGGGTGCTCCACCACGGAGATTGGGGACAAGAATGATTTGCTGTATTCCCTGCACTTGCTGGTCTTGGAATCCAATCACAGGTGGGAATCTCAGGCTGCTGGATACGTTCCCAGCGACACTTCTCCAGAGAAACATCACTCATGCTGGGGCAAATACATGGTGGCTTCAAATTATTAGTAGGACTTTTTCTTTTTTAAAAATCTGAATTCTGAGAGGCAGAGAGAGAGAGAGAGAGAGAAAGAGAGGGAAAGCACACTCCCACCTTCTAGTTTTCTTCTTAATTGCCAGGCTAAAGTCAAGTTGGAAGCCAAAAACTTAACCAAATTCTCCCCGGTAGAAGGCATGGACTCATTACTTACTTGAGTTACTTGAGCCGTCATTGCTGCTTTGAGGGTCTGCATTAGCAAGCAGCATCGGACCCAGTTACTCTGATTTAGGCCATGGGTTTCTTAACTGTAAGGCCAAATGCCCATCCCTTCAATGGGATTTCTAGGCCATTACAGACAGCAACTGAACTGATATTCACAGCAGGAAGAAAAGAAAGGGCCAGAGATATGAAAGGAATTTTGAACCACTGCATAGACATTATGAGTCGGAAGTAAGTTAGGAGTTTCCCAAGCTCTGGTTTAAGGGCAAGCCTCGGCTGCACCCAGGAAGCCAGGGGAGTAGAGGTAGTATGTGTGAATGATTTGTGACATTAGGGATTCACACATGCCTTCTGAACGCTGTCCTCTTGTGTTCTTCCAGGATTTCTTTTTTTTTTTTTTTTTTGACAGGCAGCCAACAGCTAGACTCTGCCTTTTTATAGCCACAGTTTCTCCTTCCTCTGGCACCAGAGAGAAGAGGAAGCTAGGCTGACCCAAGCTTGGGTGTACCTGCTGCTTCACTCTGGCCAACAGGCCATCCTGAAACTCATTCCTTCTTTCAGAAGGGAAGCTCTGACTTGAGGAGTTTTAGCGGGAGGGCCAGACTGTGTCCCTCTGTGCACTGCTTCTGACAGCATTGTGGGGAGCAACTCGGACTAGACTGTTACTGGAATTAAGACTTATTCTATGCATCTGCTCTCCCACAATATGGCGCTGAGAAGGGAGTAACAACTTCTACGCAGCTGCCTTTCGCCAACTTGAGTGATGACCTGCAGGAGCTGATCCTGCTGATTGGAGGAGAGCAGCATACTCGGCGTGTGGGTAGCAGAGTTGGGATTGGTGGAAGAGGACTATAAAGGAGGAGAGAGACAACATGCACCAGGAACATCTATCTGAAGGAACACCTGTGCAGCCCCTGAGAGAGCCGGCCGGCGGTGTGCCGCTTCTCTGCGGAAGTGGGGAAAGTGGCAGGGGGAACCGCCCTTCCACGGAGGGGGAAGGGTCGGTAGCCAACCCAGGAAGAACCAGCAGCAAACCCGGGGAGGGCCGAGCAGACAAAAGAACAGTGCAGGGTTTAGTGTCGTTCCTCCACGAAGAGGGGGAGCGACATAATGGTGCCGTGACTCGGATAGGAAACCTAGGAGGGAAGAAAAGGAAAGAAGCGGGAAAATACCGGAGAGAGAGACTAGCAAAGAGCCTAGGGAAAAGCCAGACGGAAAAGGTGCCAGAAGAAACTATCCAAAGCCTAGGCATAGACTAGGATACGGACTGTGGGAAAGAAGTTAGGATTGGCTGTTAGGGTTGAAAGTGAAAGTGAAACCTAGAAGAAACTTAGACTCGGATACGGACTGTGGGGAGAAGCCAGGAGAAGTGAGAGGGGAATATTGTTGGAAGAAAAGTTAGGAAACATACTGGGTAGAGAAAAATATGTTAGGGAGGATGAAGCCGCGGGGGCAGGCTGAGGCGGAGACGTAAGCTAGCTTGGGATTCTTCAAGTCAGCCCGGGGAGTAAAAGGCGAAAAGCTAAAACTAGAGGCGGACGCGTAAGCCAGGTTGGAATCCGTCAGATTAGCCCGGGGAGCAAAAGACGGGAAGCCAAACCATAAGGCGGAGACGTAGGCTAGGTTGGATTTCGCCAGGTTAGCCCGGGGAACTTAGACTGAATACCGGTGGTGGAAACGTGAGCTAGGCTGTGTGACTCGCGGAAGCCGCCGCGCGCAGAGAGAGTGCGCGGGGCATGAGCGGGGGAGAGTGCACGGGGCGCGAGTAGGAAACGCGGGGCTAGTGAGAGGCAGTGGTGCAGGCGCGAAGGGGCGCGGAGACCGCGGAGCGTGCGCGAAGCCGGGAAGCCAGCAGATGAGAAGCGCGGGCTGAAGCCGAGCAGAGCCGGGAAGCCGCTGCGGGGCGAGGCGCTGAGAAGCAGCCTTGGGGCGGGCACCGGGAAGCCACGGGGATAAGAGAAACAGAAGTTTAGAAGTAAAATGAGAGAAATAGGAATGCTGGCAGATAGAAGTAAAATAGGAGAAATAGGAATGCCCAGAGATAGAGAAATAGAGAAAAATAAGGCCTCCCCACAACATGGCAATGAGAGGGCTTGGATTCGGTCTGCCTGATTAGTAAGGCGATGAGCACCTGTGGGCGGCTAGCAGCTTACCCGCTGCAGGTCACCGAAGACAGGCACGTTATCAACACCAATAAGTCTCCCCACAATACGGCAATGAGAAGGCTTGGATTCGGTTTGCCTGATTGCTAGGGCTTGTAAGCACCTGCAGGCAGTTCTAGCAGAGCAGAGCATGCGCTGCAGGGCACCGAACACAGGCACGCATCAGCGCCTAAAAACCTCCTCACAACATGGGGAAGAGAGGACCCGGATTCGGTTTGCCTGATTGGTAGGCTTGTAAGCACCTGTGGGCAACTCTAGCAATCAGAGCAGAGTGTGTGCCACAGGGCACCAAAGACAGGCGCGTATCAACGCCAAAAAATAAAAAGAAAGGGGGAATTGTGGGGAGCAACTTGGACTAGACTGTTACTGGAATTAAGACTTATTCTATGCATCTGCTCTCCCACAATATGGCGCTGAGAAGGGAGTAACAACTTCTACGCAGCTGCCTTTCGCCAACTTGAGTGATGACCTGCAGGAGCTGATCCTGCTGATTGGAGGAGAGCAGCGTACTCGGCGTGTGGGTAGCAGAGTTGGGATTGGTGGAAGAGGACTATAAAGGAGGAGAGAGACAACATGCACCGGGAACATCTATCTGAAGGAACACCTGTGCAGCCCCCGAGAGAGCCGGCCGGCGGTGTGCCGCTCCCCCACGGAAGTGGGGAAAGTGGCAGGGGGAACCGCCCTTCCACGGAGGGGGAAGGGTCGGTAGCCAACCCGGGAAGAACCAGCAGCAAACCCGGGGAGGGCCGAGCAGACAAAAGAACAGTGCAGGGTTTAGTGTCGTTCCTCCACGAAGACGGGGAGTGACAAGCATTAACACGAGGTGTTGTAACACAGGGAGGTGTTGGTCTCTGCGTGGGATTAAGTGAGTTCTCAATAGCCAAGATTCCGGGCTGTTGTCCTGGTCCTCCCAGGACTGTCTGATATGTTCCTGTGTGAAGGCCAAGGAGTTAGCAGTAGGGAGACCCAGCCACAGCGTCTCTGCACTCCGCCTGAGAAAAATCACTGGCCTTGTATTTCTCGGCTACTGATCTGAGCTCACAGGGACGTTCAGAAGAGGCTGAGCTGCCAGTTGGAGGTATGCTTGTTCCCCCATGACATGAGAGGTTTCCACAGACATTCCACAAACCCTGGACCAGCAGAGCTCCCCAGAGCCAGGAAGCACTGGATGCTGTCAGCTGCCGGTTGGCAGTGTGGCCTTGGGTGACTTCACCGGCTTTGCCTACTCACGGCCAAGATCGCTGCCTCAACTGTCACTCGGGCATTAGTATTCTCTCCTCTGATCGACGGTTTCTCCCCACTCTCACGCTCAGCTCACTTGCAGTCACCTCCATGAGCCTGCTTCCTGGCAACACAGAGCCCACTGCTTCTGGAGCCCCATAGCAGTTAAAGGGCCATACTCACCACTCCCTGGGCTATTTATTTACTTATTTAATTATTTTTAACTTTTCTTTTTCTTTGGACAAGCAGAGTTAGACAGTGAGAGAGAGAGACAGAGTGAAAGGTCTTCCTTTTCCGTTGGTTCACCCCTCAAAATGGCTGCTACGGCCGGCGCTGCGCTGATCCGAAGCCAGGAGCCAGGTGCTCCCTCCTGGTCTCCCATGGCAGTGCAGGGTCCAAGCACTTGGGCCATCCTCCACTGCCTTCCCCGGCCACAGCAGAAAGCTGGACCAGAAGAGAAGCATCCGGGACAGCATCTGGTGCAGGGACCAGGGCTAGAACCCGGGGTGCCGGCACCGCAGGCAGAGGATTAGTCAAGAGAGCTGCGGCGCAGGCCCTCCCTGGGTTTTTATGCTCAATCCTGCTTCTAAGGGAGACAGGATACCAGTTTAACGTAAGGAGAGACATTATGCAAGCACAGCTATGCAATACGGAGAAGGACCGCCCACTAGCCAAAAGATTCCAAGCCCTGGAATCTTCCTCCAAGCCTCCGAATCTGGAGTCCTCTGCTGGGGACACGCTGTGTTCACTGGGAGAGGAGCCACGTTAGCCTCACTCTGGGGCTCCTGGCTGCTGGGGGATTCTGTGATAATGGTTTAAACACTCTGCAATCAAAAACCACAGATGTGCAATGACTTTGGATAACTTACTGTGCTGGCAGTGGATCCCATTGAATCCCCCAGGACACTTGCAGACGTAGCCTATGAACGTGTCCCCTCTGTAGGCTTCGCTTATCTCACAGGTTCCTCCATTATGGCACGGGTTAGGGATGCAGGGACCTGGAAGGCAGAGAAGACATTGCTGTGTGATGCATATGCTAAAGAGGAGACCAAGGTCCACACTCTGCAATTCAGTTTTATTGAGCAAAATACTCTGGGTATTTTTTAAAAATTTATTAATTCATTTGAAAGGCAAAGTTAGAGAGATGCAGAAGCAGAGACATAGAGAGAGAGGTCTTCCATCTGCTGGTTCACTCCCCAAATGGCAGCAACTGCCAGAGCTGAGCTGATCTGAAGTCAGGAGCCAGGAGTTTCTTCCGGGTCTCCCACATGGGTGCAGCGGTCTGAGGACTTGGGCCATCTTCTACTGCTTTCCCAGGCCTTAGCGGAGAGCTGGATCAGAAGTGGAGCAGCTGGGATTTGAACCAAGCCCTCTGGATAAAAGTGGTACAGGAAACACTGAGTGTGTGAGCTCTGAACGCCCAAGGCCTGTGTCAGAATCCTTGCTTCCCGAGTTTTTAGCTGTGTGGTTGGGGAGGTTTGCTTAACTTCTCCCACTGCCTCATTCATTGCACTACTCTTCTGTTAAATGCCAATACTGGGGCTGGCGCTGTGGTGTAGCAGGTAAAGCTGCTGCCTGCAGTGCCGGCATCCCATATCAACACTGGTTCCAGTCCTGGCTGCTCCACTTCTGATGCAGCTCCCTGTTAATAGCCTGGAACACCAGTGGCAGATGGCCCAAGTGCTTAGGCCCCTGTACCCATATGAGAGACTGAGAAGAAGTTCCTGGCTCCTGGCTTCAGATGGGCCCAGCCTTGGCCGTTGTGGCCATTTGGAGAGTGTACCAGAGGATGGAAGACCTCTCTTTCTGTCTCTGCTTCTGTGTCTCTATAACTCTGCCTTTCAAAAAAATAATTATTTAAAAATAAATAAATAAATGTCAACAGAGTTCACCTCAAAGGGTTGCAATACAAATGAAAAGGGTTCATGCACAGAAGATACCCAGAACAGTGTCTAAAAAATATTAACACTCAGTTAAATACAAGTATCAAGGTTTCTGAATTACAGACTACCTGCTGCATGTCTAAAAGCTAATTCTTAGTTGCAATTTATGGAGTTATATACACAGAAGAGCTCTATTTTTTTTAAAGATTTGTTTATTTATCTGAGTGGCAGAAATACAGATAGAGAAGGAGGGAGATAGATATCTTCCATCTTCTGGCTCACAATGGCCAGGGCCAGCAACGGCCAGGCCAGGGCGAAACCATGAACCAGGAGCTTTTTCCAGGTCTCCCATGTGGGTGCAGGGGTGGGCCATCTTCCACTGCTTCCCCAGGCGCGTTAGCAGGGAGCTGGACCAGAAGTGAAGCAGCCAGGATCCGAATGGGCATCCACTTGGGATGTTGGCACAGCAGGTGGAAGCTTAACCTTCAACACTACAATGTCCACCACTTTTAAAAAAATTCTTCCTTCCTTCCTTCCTTCCTTCCTTCCTTCCTTCCTTCCTTCCTTCCTTCCTTCCTCCCTCCCTCCCTCCCTCCCTCGCTCTCTTTCTCTCTTTCTTTCTCTCTCTCTCTCTCCTTCCTTCCTTCCTTGCCCCCCTCCTTGATGCTGTGGGCATTTGGGTAGGGGGCTAGTATATGGCTGCTCTGTATGTTTGCCCTTCAAATAAAAATAAATGCATATTCATTAAAATGTCTTTATTTTAATTTTCTGTGTATGAGCGAGCTATCTTCAGTCTGCTGGCTCACTCCCCAAATGGCTGCAATGGCCACAGCAGGGCCGAGACAAAGCTCAGATCCTGGAGTTTCACACAGGTCTCCCACATGTGTGACAAGGGCCCAAACACATAGGCCATCTTAAGCCTTCTTCTGTTGCTTTTCTGGTTACACTGGCAGGGAGCTGAATGAGAAATCAGGCAGCAGGACTCAAACTGGTTCTCCTATGGGATGCAGGGTGTTGCAGGTGGCTTTACCCAGAAGAGCTCTTGTCCTCACTGGGGCAAACAGCAAATGCCTGCAACCACACAGACCAAGAGCAGTGGGCCGCTGTTTGCAGCAAGTTCATAGTGTTGGTATGAGTCAGTGGTGGGGATGCCTCTGAGCAGCACACTTTTCTTGGCCTGGGAGGAACAGTTCATCAAAAGCATCGTATTTAGAAAAGAGATGTTGGTACTCATTGTTAAACCTTGAGGAAACAACTTCAACAAAGCGACCAGTGCCTGAGCAGCCAATGGAGCTGCACTGCTCAGCTCTCCCTCGGGGAGGACCCACTGCCAGCAGCAGGGTGGTTGCTGCCAGGACCCAGCATCTGCCGACGCAGCGTCCATTCCAGCACCCACTCCCCAGGCAACGGCAGAGCTAGTCCAGCCCTGCCAGACCTGCTGCTCTTCCAACTCACATTCGACACTTGGAGGCGGCTCGCGGGCGTGGCTGAGGTTTTCTTAAAAGCCATGGTCATCATCCGTGACTTCTTCCATGCATAATTCTTCCCTTCCCTGCCTCCCATCTGTAGTGACAGGCTGTGCCACAGAAGGCGGCTCCTACTACCCATGCTTGCTCTCTCTTCCCTCGGTCGACCACAGACCTCCATCCCCCCACCAATCACTCTTCCACACCATGAATTCTGTCTTACACTCCGCTCCCTGGAGGCCACCAAGGGACTCGGGATGAACTTCAGACTGGAAATTGGGAAGAAGGGAAGAATCAAGTTCAAGAAAGACAAAGCTCTCCCTGGGAGATAAAGAAAGGCCAAGGGGAAAAAAAAAGATTGTTTTCTCCAAGTTTGGATTTGTCGTCTTGTTTAAATATTCATTTGTTTACTTTCAGAGAGAGAGAGAGAGGAATACTTTCTGTCTACTGGTTCGCTCCCCTAAAGCCCACAAGAGCCAGTCCTGGACCAGGTTGAAACCAGGAGCCTGTAACTCTGGGGTCTCACAAGTGGTAGGCAGGGGCCCAAGTGCTTGACCCATCACCTGCTGCCTCCCAGCGAGCATATTTTCAGGAAGCTGGGTCAGGAACAGACCAAGACTGAAAGTCGAGGACTCCAAAGCGAGATGCAAGAGGCCCAAGGAGCATCTTACTGCTGAGCCCAGTGCCCATGCCCTGCATTTATTTTTAATTCAGCAGAGCAGAACACAATAAAATGTGGAGGAACAGCCAGTGACGACATGCATTTCACAAAAGGCAAGTGAGATGCATTACACCGGGCACCTGACTATGCATAAAGGAATGCATTCCGGAGTCGTGGAGGAGACCACTCAGGAAAAGGAGCCAGTGCTCCTGGCTGAGGCTAGAAGGCAGGCAGAAGGTGGGACCCAAGAATGGTGGTAACCAAGGCAGCTGGGGGACTGCACCCTGCGCACGTCTGGACAGGGAGGACAATGACGACCAAGCGCCGGCTCTGCGGCAACTTGAAATCGCTCCTTCGTTGGCTACGATGTAAACCCCCCTGCAGGACCCATCTCCCCATCTCCTCCCAGTTGCCTCTTCTGCTCTCCCCTCTAACAAGTCAGAGCGCCTCCTGCCTTACAAACTCTTCACACAAATAAGCTCGCTTGTCCTCCCCACAGTCCAGTTGGGTGGCTGACCTCATTCAGGTTCAGTGTGAAGAGACTGAGGGTCAGAGAGATCAGGTGGCTTAGACTAAGACACTGTTATTCTGAAACCTTCACTCCTTGGCGTCAACTGGCTGGAGAGGGGAGAATGAGGTGAGTGACTGCAGAAGGACCGGCGCTGTGGCCGAGTGGGCTAAGCATCTGCCTGCAGCCTCAGCATCCCATACGGTTGCCCGTTCAAGTCCCAGCTGCTCCACTTCCGGTCCAGCTCTCTGCTATGGCTTGGAGAAGCAATAGAAGATGGCCCAAGTGCTTGGGCTCCTGCAGCCATGTGGGAGACCCAGAAGAAGCTCCTGGCTCCTGGCTTCTGATCAGCCCAGTTCCAGCCCTGGCAGCCATTTGGGGAGTGAACCAATAGATGGAGGATCTCTCCCTCTGTCTCTCCCTTTCTCTGTCTGTAACTCTGCCTCTCAAGTAAAGAAATACATCTTTAAAAAAAAAAAAGTGTGATGTCAGAGTTTTGACTCATTGACTTGCTTCAGAATGAGAAAACTTACTTTTTTTAATTAACAGAAAACTGACATCCATGCATATAATTGCTAAAGAAACATGAATACTTAGATTCAAGCAATTATATAATTTTCAACAAATAAGGTACCTTGAAGATCACCTAACCGGATTGTTCAATTTTGCAGATGAAAAAACAAAACTTAATAAGCGTTCTGTAGTATCTTTAGCAAAACACCTAATATGAGGAAAATTGGATTTAAGCAACTCTACCTAGGAGGAAAAAATAGTTATTAAAACTAAAACTGCTGAAGCTCTTTCTGCCATCTCAAGAGAAGGGACTTAATTATGTGGGGGAGGAAGGCAAGCAGAATTCTAGGAGGTGGGCGTGGAATAGGAAGGCTATCACGGGAAGGTGCTGGCAGCTCCTGTGAGAGCAGTGCTGGTGGGGAAGGGGCCAGCGAAGCCCCTCTGAGGAACAGGAGCCTGTGAGAGATCCCTGGCCCTGCTGACTCAAGCCTCCTGCATCGATGGAAAAGTAGCACCTGTGTGCAACATGAGTCACGTGGATCTGCATGGTGACGGGAAGCACTGAGCGAGGGCTGGTGTAGACCAAGGGGAGGAGCTTCCAACAGCCGCACTACAAGTGAAGAATCTGGGGCAGGGGCCGAGCAATGGGCTGAGAGGCAATGGTGATGCCCCAACGTCAAGTTTAAGCTGCTTGCACAGACGCTACGCCAACTCTCGTGGGGATACCCGGCTGCACACCGAGGTCTGTGAACCACATAAAACCCACGAGCGGGGCTGGGGAGGTGCAGGCGAAAGGGCTGTGCTATTCATCTGGCTCATCCTGGTGGGAGGCGAGGCGAGTTGCTCCCAGGATGCTCAAGGGCTAGGACTCCAGCGGATGCTGTGACCTGCAGGCAGAGCTGACCGGGCTGCCGTCAGTCCCACCCATGCAGTGCACTTCCCGGGGGGCACAGGTGAGCTGCCCAGC